GGAGATCAGGCCAAACTCATGGCTACCGTAGCAGGACTTAGGCTGAGAGCAAGGCACTCAGCCTCACAGAACTGGGCTCTCCGTCAAGGACCCAGCAAGGCAAGGCCACACAGGAGAAGCCAAAAGCTTCTCCAGAATCTGCTCCAGTACTGCTTTGGAAGAGCGGCTCTCAAGGTCCCCAATCAGTGCGCTTCTGTAGCTGGATACTATTGACTGCCTGTAACTCAAATGGGCTTAAACGGTGGTCTCTACTGGTCCCTGTGATTGAGTTCCATGTGACAGCTCCATACGTAGGTTAGCGCCTAAGCCTTATATCCAGATAAAGAGAAACCATTCCATTTTGGGTCTCAAAGAGCAAGGCATCTTTTCCCAGAAGCCTTGGGCAGACTTTTTCCTCCCATCTCTGTGACCCAGACTGGGTTGTGTTCTCATCTGGGAACTAAAGTGAGCAGAGAAGGACATCCCTGACTGGCTTAGGCCTGGGCTCTGGAACCCAACACTGGCCAGGAGTCTGGAACTGCAAGGTTGGCAGGATTGGTTAGGTGTGTCAGGTGCCTCCCAAACTCCCCCCCGCCCCATGCACCCCCACTGCCAAACTGGGGTCACTGCCAGACCACATGGGTGCTCCACAGTGGAGGGGGCAGGAGTGTGCAGCAGATGAAGGAGAGACAACCCCAGTGTCCCCACTGATTCCTTTGCTTGAACACACTCCGTGGTGTTGGCAGCCAGACCAAATGCTGGGGCAGAGAATAGACCTTGCTTTCTGCATCCTCCCGGGAGCCTGGTAGAGACACAGCCGATGTGCAATAGACGTGGAATGAATGAAGTGCCTCATTAACCAATATGATTTCAGTGGATTCACACATCATTTTATCCTATCACCATACCCATTTTACAGGGTGGGAAACTCAGCCATGCCAAGTGACTAATCAAAGTCACAAGGGAGGCACCTGGATGGCTCAGTAGGTTAGGCGTCCGACCCCTGATCTTAGTTCGGGTCTTGATCTCAGGGTTGTGAGGTCAAGCCCCGTGTCAGGCTCGATGCTGGGTGTGGAGCCTATTTAAAGTCACAACAAAGTGTATACCTTTGTGTTGGTGAGCCTGAGGCTCTTCCTGGCCTAACATAACAGGTATGTCCTGGTCTGGGAGAGGCAAGAGGGGATGAACAGACATCCCAGGAAGGAGCAGAAAAGGCCCAAATGAACGAAGGTGGAATCATATACAGCACTAGGCATAGGACTGTACCCTTTCTAAAACCCTTCTCATAGTCTCGTTTTACTTTGATACTGCTTCTAAAGCTGAGAATAACCGATGACAAGCCCGTATGTATCCAAGTTGGGATACATGAATTTAGTACCCTGAATTTTTTGAGAAAATTTTGGTACAAATTGCTTGAAATCAGTGTTAAAAAATCTATCGAGTGATAAATTAAGAAGTACCCAGTGTCACAACATATTCCTGTGTCGAAAATGTTTATAGTGAATCTAAGCCTAACTCCTGCAGCTTACTGGAAACGAGAGAAATCCAGAATATTTGTCCCTCTACAAGACAACTGGCCTTGTCTGTCCAAAAACTCAGTGTTTCAGAAAACAAGTTCTAGGTTTAAAGAGATTAAAGGGACCAATAACAGTGCTGAGACCCTGACTGGATCTTTGTTTAAAATACATCAGTGGAACAACCAGGAATATTGGAACATGGATTGAATGCGAACTTAACGTTAATTTGATTAAGTGTAATAATGGTGGAATTACAATTACGTAGAAAAAGACCACTCTTTTTAGGAGATGCATGCTGAAGCATATAGGGGTGAAGTCTTGAAGTCTACAACTTATTTTCAAATGGTTCAGCAAATTTATACACACACACACACACATAAAGCGTAAATGTGGCAAAATGTTACTTTGTTAGATCTAGGTAGAGGGCATATAGGAGTTCATCCTATCTTTTTTCAATGCTCCATTTTGAAAGTTTTCACAAACTTGAGGGAGATCTTTAGATTTTCCATGTAAATCATCACTTTAAAAATGCTCTCTTGGGGGAATGCGCCTGGGTGGCTCGGTCGGGTGTCTGCCTTTGGCTCAGGTCATGATCCCGGGGTCCTGGGATTGAGCTCCACATCGGGCTCCCTGCTCAGCGGGAAGCCTGCTTCTCCTCCTGCCCCTCCCTCCCCCTGCTCATGCGCACTCTCTCAAATAAATAAAATCTTTAAAAAATAAATAAAAAATAAACCTTGCTCTGTCCTTCAGGCAAGGTTTTTCCAAACATGGTCTCTCACCATCAGTATGAGAATCACGAAAGAAAACAGAGGAATGGCCAATGAGCACATGAAAAGAACCTCAACATCAGGCATCCAGAAAAGGCCAATGTAATTACAGACTTGTGGTATCACTGTAGGGCTCTGAAACTGATGTAACGTGTGTGTCGATGACACTGGATGAAAACAAATGCAAACAGAAACCACACCGAGCTAGCACTTCACACCCATGAGAATGGCCACAGCGAAGAAGACTGGCAACATCGGGGCTGATGAAGATGGGGAATGGCGAGAACTCAGATTGTGTTGGTGCAGGGATTATAAAATGGTCCAGCTACTTTGGGAAACAATCTGGCAGTTTCTTACGCACACATCCTTACCGTACAACCCAGTAATCCTCCTCTTGGGTACCAAGAGAAAGGAAAACCTACCTCCAAAGACTTGTATGCGAATGTTCAGAGCAGCTGTATTCATAACAGCCAAAACCTGGAGACGACTGTGAGATCACCAACCCGAGCAGAGAGAAAGTGGGGTCCACCCCTGCAGAGCAAACAGCTATGGACCCGTGCAGCAACGCGAGCGAGCCTGAGAAAGCAAGAGTACATACTATATGCCTTTTTTCTATGAAATCCTAGAACAAGTTCAACTCACCTGTAGAGACAGAACATAGATTCACCTGGGACTGGAGGTCAGGGAGGATTGGCTGCAAAGGGACATGAGGGAACTTTCTGGGGCCTGTGGGACATATTCTCTATCTCGCTTGGCAGTGGTGACAAAGGCAGCTATGTTTGTTGCAAAGTACTCCCGAGATAGGTACATTTTCTTTTGATCAAACTGTACCTCAATAAAGTTGATTAAAATCTATTTACATCTCTTCCCCCCCACCCCCATGGGCTCTTTTAGACAGGGTTTCTCAAAATGTGGTTTCTGGATTATCTGCTTCAGCATCACCAGGAAAGCTGGTAGAAATCTGCCCTACTGAATCAGAATCTCAGGACGGGGTGGAGGAGGAGTCAAATATGCCAGACACTGGCGGCTCTTCCACCACTGGCCAGCCATCTGAATGGACCCCAGAGGCTGCTGGACCCACCCGTGCCAGTGGCTGGTCCCCACAGCTCCGTGACCCCAGCCAGTGCTGGGGGCAGCGCCATGATGACATATGGCTCTCGCACACCAGCAGCTGGTGGTGCCTGGTGGGAAAAGAGACTAGAGCAGTATCTCAGGAGGAATTCCATGCAGACCAACCTGCTGCGTAAGCTCCCCAGCCTGTTTTGCAGAAAGGGAAAGATGCACTCTGACGGCCAGGCTGGAACCTGTGAGAAGGCCTCTCAGCGAAGGAAGTAATGACGGGCTGTAAGCAGGGGCCGCCACAGGACCCACTTCAGAAGCCAGCAATTCTCAAGCTGGGCTGTGCGTCAGAATCTTGTGGACCTTTTTAAAAAGTCTAATTCCTCTTTTAATCATAGTAGTACATAAATACGGGCTCTTAAAACAAACAAAAAACCCCATAAATATGGCTTTAGTAATACTAAAGTATGCATATTTAAAAAACAACATTGGTCCCTCTCTAATCTTATTCCTTCTGGGGACGCTGAAATTTTTTAAGTGTACAGCTTGATGAATGTTTATGTATGTGTCCACCTGACCCTGTTCAAATCAAGACCCAGACCACTTCCAGCACCGTAGAATATCCACTGGGGACCCTTCTCAGTTCATCTTTCCCCACATAACCACATTCTCACTTCTGTCACATCAATTAGTTTGAAGGCAACCACTTTAAATTATTTTTGCCATTTCTTCTAGTATTTTTTCCATATATTTTTTTTAAGATTTAATTTATTTATTTGAGCGGGGGAGGGGAAGGGCAGAGGAAGAGGGAGAGAGAATCTCCACAATGAGCGCGGAGCCCGAGGCAGGGCTCGATCTCACGACCCGGAGATCATGACCTGAGCCAAAACCAAGAGTCGGATGCTCAGCTACTGAGCCACCCAGGCACCCCTCCAAATTTCTAAATAATACGCTTACACTGCTATTTCTTGGTCTGCCTATTTTGGACAGGAACTAGTAGCTTCTTAGGACAAGTAGATCCAAAGTTCACTCTCCTTCCCCTTCCTCACCAGGTGAAACTTTAAAAACTTTAGGACTTCCAGGCTGTGGCACCAACTGCCCCACCCTGGCCACTTGTGCCCCGGGTGCCCCCCACCTGTGGTCCCTGGCCTTGAGCTGGGAGCAGCCAGAGAGCCAGGCTCAGGACCTTGCTGAGTAGCGCTCTGAGGTGTGAATGGAACCTGTTACCAAGCTCCGGAGTTAAATTGTGGTTGAAGAAAGCCATGAGAAACACCAGAGTGCCTCTAAGATTTTTATTGCTTGTCAAGTGCACTCTTAGGACCCCACCCCTTTCTGCCAGCCAGCCTGTGCATTCTGTACCAACTGTTGGTGTGAATGGACCAGTAAAGGTTTCTGCTTGAGAGGAAGCTGAATGCATGGCCTGCCCCCCAAAGAGGAAGGTCGGTTGGCCCAGGACAGTTGGGTCGAGGATTTGGCACCAAGATAAGATGCAGGTACTGTCTCCGGTCACTGGGAGAGAGGTCTGGACAGGCTGCAGGGACTAAACCAGTCCTCCGGCCGCCCCCCTGTGGCCACTCCCTCTCACCTGAAGGCCCCTCCCTGCCCCCCCAACACAGACATCTTCAGGCTGGTGTCCCCACACTTGCCGGTGGAAGAGCTGCCTCGAATCTCCCCACAATTCTTATTTCCTTCCTCACTTGGACCCCCACGCCTTGCAGCTCCCTGGTTCTCCTGCCCGGGCCGGGGGGCAAGGGGTCCCATCCTCTGCATCTTCCCACCTCGGGCATCAGCTGCTCAGAAGTCCCGCCAGCACCGCACACCGCAAACCTTACCCTCTGCCAGCTCGGGGCCGGGAAGGAAACCCTCCTCTTCCCTCCTCCAGGGGCGACCACTCCTCACTTGCTGTCTGTCCTCCAGACGCTGTTGGTCAACGGTGTCGGCCACGCGCCCAGCCGCCTGGAGGCGGCATCCCAGCAGAGGCTCAGGCCCTGCGCTCAGGTGAGACCCGCCGGGCAGCACTGGGATCGCTAAGGCCTCGGGTCCTCCAAGACTGAGGGGGTGTGCAGGTGTGATTAAGCAGGTGACGGAGAGGATGGGAAATGGCCATTTTAATGAGGGAGAAACCTAGGCTCAAAAATGCTAGAGAAACCATTCCAAGGGAACCGCTTCAGAAGCTGGAAGGGCCACAGAAAGCCTCCTCGCCCTTGGACGTGACCTGCCTGAGCCGGAAGTCCAGTCCCTGGTTGGCTCAGAAAGGGTCCCCTGAGCACAGAGCAGGGAGACCCCGAAGTCTGGGTCCAGGGAAGAGGCTGCGACAGCTAGCAACCTGGCTTCCCCTGGGGGCACTGCATGCCCCCAAGTCTCAGGACGGGCGGAACCCAAGTCACTTGGTCCCCTTGGCGCAGACCCATGGTCTTGGAGAGGCACAGTCCAAAGCTACCAGCTTGCCTCCCTCCAGGCCCCCACACTTGAGCTCCGTCTGGTCCTCCGCTTCCTCCGGGAGCCTGGGGAGGGTGAGAAGAGGGGACAGAGCTCAGGATGATGGCCCCTGCTGGCCTGTGTGCCTGCTGCTGATGGGCATGGCTTGATCACTGCACAGGGCAGGAGTCTGGAAAGGGCCCTGGGGTGGGAGTCACGAGGATGCCCCATAGCTCCAGAGAACCACCCAAACCCCTCTGTGCAGCACCCCTTATCTACAGAACAGGGTGACGATCCTGCTTGGGTGAATGCTCTGGAGACCCAAACAAGGGATGGGGTGACCAGGACTAAAGGACACTAAGGCTCCAAGCCAGGTGGGGCAAGGAGGGTAGGGTGTCTCCCAAGAGGTACCCGAGGCTGGTGGTGGAACAAGGGGCTGAATCTGGGAACAGACAGATGGTGGATCCAGATCAGCAGTGGGGGAGGTGCCAGCAGAGGGGAAGGCCCCAACCCCTCTTTGGCGTCTACTGTGATGTCATTCTGGTCATACTGGGGACAGAGAAGCCACCCACCCAGGCCCATGGTCACTCACAGCGGGGGCGATAGTGGGGCCCCGTCGATCCAGTGCCAGCCCTGGGGGCCTCGCCGGGCCGCCACCCAGGAGTACTTGGTGACTGGGTATCTGCTCAAGAAGTCCTGAAGGAGAAAAGCAGCTGGTCACCCTTCTTCCGACACTAGTAAGGCTCCCCTGGGGCTTCTGTGCCCCCCCTCCCCGTAGTACCCCCAGCAAGTTCCCAGCTCACCAAGAGAACGGACCCAGCTCCACCCAGCTCTCCCCAAACACCAGGAATTGGAAAGCTGTATTGGATGCTTGCTGGTCGGCAGACAATGGGGACCGGAAATGGGGGGTGCCCACCTCAGCCTCAAGGGGAGAGAGCATGTTAACGCCGGTCCCCACCGGGCAGCACAAGATGGGTACTGAGGGGAGAAAGCACATCCAGGTAGCAAAGAGGCGAGGGCCAGGGCTGATGCGGCTGGGAGCAGGGGGCCAGCGGGGCGCTTCTCAGTTACGTCGCATCCGCTCAGCACATTATTAAGAACATTTTTAGGGGCGCCTGGGTGGCTCAGTCGGTTAAGCGACTGCCTTCAGCTCAGGTCATGATCCTGGAGTCCCAGGATCGAGTCCCGCATCGGGCTCCCTGCTCGGCGGGGAGCCTGCTTCTCCCTCTGATCCTCCCCCTCTAATGCTCTCTGTCTCCCATTCTCTCTCTCAGATAAATAAATAAAAAATCTTAAAAAAAAAAAAAAGAACATTTTTAGGGGCGCCTGGTGGCTCAGTCGTTAATCGTCTGCCTTCGGCTCAGGTCATGATCCCAGGGTCCTGGGATCGAGCCCAGCATCGGGCTCCCTGCTCAGCGGGAAGCCTGCTTCTCCCTCTCCCACTCCCCCTACTTGTGTTCCCTCTCTCGCTGTGTCTCTGTCAAATAAATAAAATCTTTCAAAAAAAAAAAAGAACGTTTTTAAGAAAGACAAGTACAAAGACCGTGGAGCCATGAGAGGCAAGTTATAGGACATCAGGGGTTACCGTGAGTATAAACGCTGACTCCAAGTCGTGGCATGATTATGGTAATGACAAAATGTGTTGGCACGAGAATGCAGACATACAAGGAACAACAAGAACCACAAGTACGTTGGAGAACTGTTAGAGATGACCTTTCTCTTACATATTTGTCCTTGGCGTCATCTTGTTTTTAGCAACTAATTAAAGGAAAAAATGGTATTTAAAAATGGTGTTAGCTTGGAAGAAGATGCTTGAATGTTGTAAGTCCGGGCAGGAGGCCGCAAAGCAAGCGCAGTTCCAGAACCTAACTTGCTGCCACGTCACATGAACAGTCCCATCCTTCCCACCACTCCGATGAGTGATTCCACTTTGGAGAATAAATCCAAGAACATGAAGGGGAGAAAATGAACGACCCAAAGGTAACACAGTGTTACTTAGAGAAAGAAAATGGAAACTACCCAAAGGCTCAGCAATCAGGAAACAACTGGGCACATTATGGGATATCAACATGATGGAAAATTACAACGTTGCTCAAGATGCCAAGTACGTGGAAAATGTCATTATGAAATCACGCTGAGTGAAGAAAGGCAGACCGCACCAGGAAGTACACGTTGCTCACAACATCCAGAAGCCTCTATTCATGAGGGGAAATTAGGAGGAGACTGTCCTATGGGAGTTTAATGTATGCCCAGCTCTTCCCTAGAAAACTTGTCTAAGTTGAGGAAGCCAAAAGCTCCGTCTTTAACCCTGGTTATTAGAAAGTAAGCACGAGAGTGATGACCGTCCCCTTGGTGCCCCTCCGAGTGGTCCTCCGGGTCTCAGCGTAGAGGTCACTTCCCGTAGGGACACCGCGTGCCCACCCCCTCCAAGGTGAGCTCCCGCCCCCGGGCCGCCGGAGCAGGACTGCAGAGCTTGGTGCACGGCTGGTCGCTTTCCGACCTGGGACGGTGACCGCGGCGAGGACGGGGAAGGCACACACACAGCCGCACGTCGGCCGGAGCCCGGGCTGGGGCCCGCCAGCAGGGCTGGGCAGGGAGCTGTGGCGAGGCGGCGGCTGGCAGGAGAGTCGGAGGCCAGAGCCGCGCTGGGCACTGGCTGCCGCGGGGGGGCTCCTGCGGCCGGCACCCCCCTTCCCGGGAGCGGGCGGCGGCCGGTTCGGGGGGGCACACCGAGGCATGGGGCTTCTCCCGGGGCCGGGACACCCCCTATTCAAATTCCGTGTATGGCACCTTAGGCAAGTACCCAAACTTACAGAGCTTCAGTATGGGCCTCTGAAACGGGGGGCCGTCCGTACGGAGGCCCGAGGGGAGCTGTACAAAGCCAAGGGCACAGAGTCCACGCTCGGCCGGGTGGTGTGCAAACGCGGCCCCCGACACAGGGGACCTCGTCTGATGTTCCCAGCACTGCCGAGGGGCCCCTGCCCTCAGTCCTGGCCCCAGGCCACCCGGCTGTCCCTCGCTTCCACCTCCGGGCCTCCCACGACAGCGGCGTGGCCTGTCCCTGCCCACTCACTCCTTTCCACCCTTCCTTCCTCGCAGCTCCGACTCCGTTCACTTGCTCTCACCGCTAGCAGAAATGATGGTGTGGGCAAAGCATCATCCAGAGACGCAAATTCCAGAAACTCGCGAACCAGCTATGGTTCACAGAACTGCGCCGTTGTGCCGCCGCCGCGGTCCCGGGGCCTCCATGGCCTCCCGCGGGTGCTCCTCCAACTTCGCCACCAAATGTCGGGCCGCGTGGGGACGGGAGCCCGAGCGGAATGTACTTGAAATCCCACATTTGGCATCTTAAAACGGAGGTAAATTACCTGCTCTGCCCTCAGGCATTTCTTTTTTAAAAGTTGTGGTAAAATCGCATCAGGTATCACGGAATTTAGCGTTTTCACCATTTTCAAGTGTCCAGGTTGGTGGCACTGGGGTCATCCACACTGCTGTGTGACCATCAAGGCCGTCCGCACCCAGAACCTTCCCATCTCCCTCGGGGGAGAACTGGTGTGCTCTCACCGCCCCCCCCCGCCCGCCCCCACGCCACCAGCCTCACTCTGTACATTTCAAATGCTCCGATTAGTTAATTTCTTCGTGTTTTTTCCACCTTTCTGCAGTCAGCCTGTGTGGCTGACAGTCCGTGCGCGTCCTGGGCGCTCCCTGCACCCTAGGAAACACAGCTGTGCTGAAACCAAGGGCGCAGACGGCGCTTAAACTTTCTTCCTCTTCTCTCACTGTGAGCAAACCGAGCTCTTGGGGAGGATGAGACCTGCTTCTCCGAGCTCTGCATACAGCTGGCGCCACAGTATGTCCCTGGGTGTGTGCGTCCCAGCTCCGGGGGCCTGGCCTTTGCCCACTGCCTCTGCCAGCCTGTCTCCAGCTAGCCTCTCCCCCCCCGTCCCAGTGCCTCCTGGAGCTTCTGGCCCTCGTCCAGAGCTCAGAAGGATCCCAGAGCTCCCCAGCCATCATAGTCCAGAATTTAACTGCCTGGGACCCAAATTCTCAGTCCTTTTGCAAGGAGCTTACCCAGACTTTTCTATACTTACTTATGTTTCAAATAATTGACCCTGTATGCTTAGTTCTACAAGAATTCTTTATCCCAAGCTTGTAGTTTGGATGGTGTAAGCTCATCTCCCCCTTGGAGGACACACCAGCCACAGGGAGGTTTTTGCTCAGAGGGCTGAGGTCATGCTGAACTGAACCTGTGTACTCAGAGGCGGCAGGGGCAGAGGCAGGCTTTCTGAGGACACGTGCTGGGCTCGGTGGGTCCCTGGCAGGCTCAGCCCCCTCCCCCAGCTCCACCACTGTCCAGGGACCCACCTCTGTTCCCATTCCCGCTGGCCTTCATTTTGCAGATGCCACAAGGGAAGGTTCCTCAGCACAGCCTATTCTTATCTGACAAATATTAAGAACTCTGGGCCTGGCCCAGGCCCCTGGCAAAACCTTTATATACTGATCTTCTTCATAGACTACTGTCCCCCTGGCATTTCCTCCCTATTATACATAGCCCACATTATTAGCAGAACATTTAGAAAATTTAAAAAAAAATAAAACTTTAAGGAAGAAGAAGAAGAAAAAAATCACTCGTAATCTTGCCCCCAGTGGTAACCACGATTAGAATAAGGAGTATACATATTTCCTTTCTGTGTTTTTTCTTTGCATCTATCTTTTTACCATACTGAGATCCCAGATTTGGTGTTTTCCCATCTACATTGTATCTTTTTCATTTCTCCATGTTTTTTGAAACTTTAAGTGTTATTCCTGGTGGATAAAATAACCCACTGTAAAGTATTTTCTCCAGCAGTTTTATGTCCACCTCCAGGAAACTCTCCCAGAGAGAAAGAGAAAGGCAGGGACCCCCTTCCCTCTTGTATGGTGCAGAATAGCTTTGGGGTCAGGACTGGGCAGGAACAGTTCAAGAAAACAAAAGGTCACATATGAGAAATCTTAAGTAAAATATTAACAAGTCAAATCCAGAAGTCCTGGGGAAGAAAAAATCATGGCTAAGTAAACTATCTCAAGAGGCCTAGAATATTAAAAACAAAACAAAACAAAAAACAAACAACAATGTAATTCATATAAAAAGAGATTCAGGGAATAAACAAAAAGATATCATCTCAATAGACACACAAAAAAGCATCCAATGAAGTGAAACTCATTCAGGTTTAAAACTCTTAATAAAATAGGAATAGAGGGCGCCTGGGTGGCTCAGTCGTTAAGCGTCTGCCTTCGGCTCAGGTCATGATCCCAGGGTCCTGGGATTGAGCCCCGCATCGGGCTCCCTGCTCAGCGGGAGGCCTGCTTCTCCCTCTGCCTGCTCCCCCTGCTTGTGTTCCTTCTCTCTCACTGTGTCTCTCTCTGTCAAATAAATAAAATCTTAAAAAAAAAAAAAAAAGGAATAGAAAGGAATTTTCTGAAATGATAACAGAAGGGGAAAATAAGAGATAAGAGCGGGAGATGACAGCACATGAGAAATGTCAACAAAACTTGGGTAGCTGGACAGCTGTAATCGGCTGAGCAGACCCAAGAAAGCTCTGTGGTTTTTCAAGGAAAAGGTTGAGTGAGAGGAAGGTGAGAAAGACGCCAGTTGGAATTGAGAAGCCCCCAAATGCTCAAAGATTAGAGGCAACAGGTCCTTCTGGAGGCCAAGGTACGGGAAGAGGGGCCTGGAGCAAAAGTTCTGGTTAAAAGTCCTAAAAAGAGGGCGCCTGGGTGGCTCAGTCGTTAAGCATCTGCCTTTGGCTCAGGTCATGATCTCAGGGTCCTGGGATCAAGCCCTGCATCGGGCTCCCTGCTCTGCAGGAAGCCTGCTTCTCCCTCTCCCACTTCCCCTGCTTGTATTTCCTCTCTCGCTGTGTTTCCCTCTGTCAAATAAATAAATAAAATCTTTAAAAAAAAAAAAAAGTCCTAAAAAGAAGCAGTGAATGCCTCTCTCCTACCCCTTCCCACAAAATCCACTCACCCCTCCCAATACAGCAGATCACCAGTAGAACTTTGAGAAATAAACTATAGGGGACCGGGGGATCCAGAGCACCAGGTCTGGCTGAGGGTTGGAGGTACTTACGCTAGAAAAGGGGAGGGATTAAGTGCTACGTTCTTACAAGTGAAACCTTGGTTCCCTTTCCCCACTGCTCCTGGAATGCTGACATCCCAGCATTCACTTAAAAAAAAAAAAAAAAAAGAAAAAAGAAAAGTTGAGCCCCAGCCTGATGTCCCCATTGCAAAGCCTGCCTCTAAAAAAGTCCACTGCATCCCCTCACCTCCACCCTGACACAGAGCTTCCAATCTGTTCTTTAGTGCCTTACTCTTAATTATGACAGCTGAGGATCATCAGACATTTTAGGAAATTTTCTAACATGAAAAGACAAAAAAAAACCCCCCACAACTCAGTACATAGAATAAAAGGTACTTGCAGAAAAAACAGACATGATACAGGGAGCAGAACAAATTTCAAAAACAAAGTTAGATATAACTACTATCTATAATGAGATAAGAGAGGGGCGCCTGGGTGGTTCCATGGGTTAAGTGCGTGCCTTCAGCTCAGGTCATGATCCCAGGACCGGTCCTGGGATCAAGTCCCACGTCGGGCTCCCTGCTCAGCAGGAAGTCTGCTTCTCCTTCTCGCTCTGTGTGCATATGCTCTTGCTCTTTCTCTCTCTCAAATAAATAAATATTTATAATGAGATAAGAGAAGATACTGCATCCTTGAAACAAATAGGACACCATAAAAAAAGGACATTTGAAGAACCAAAAAAGAGTTCTCAAAATTACAAATAAGGCAATAGAAATAAAAATGAAGAAAAACACCAACAAAGGGATAGGACTGTTCAGTTTCAGGACAGAGGGAGAACAAAAATAAAGGCCCTGAAATTTGGGGGGTGGGGGAGTCACATAAAAGGATCAGAAATCAGACTTATTAAATGGTAAGACTGAACACTGGAAGGTAACAGAGCAAAAGCAGCACAATTCTGGGGGACAACTATTTCCACCCTAGAATTCTGTACCGAGCCAAGCTGTCAGTCAAATAAAGTGAGAATAAAAGTATCTTCAGACATGACAGGTCTCAAGAAATTTACCAGGCATGCACTTTTTTCCCAGGAAATTTACAGCGTATGTACTCCACCAAGAAAAGGCTATAAACCAAGAAAAAGTCTTGAGATCAAGGAAACAGGGACCCCACATAGGAAAGAGGCAAAAGCAATGGAGGCAAGATTCCAAGACAACATATACCTTGAGCACTGTGCACCTTCCCTCCACAGGACAGATCAATATAGTGATTAAACACCTATATCTGTGGTTACTTGATTAACATCTGCCACACTCACTGCTCTGTTAGCCGTGTAAAGGTGGGGGCTGGTTGTTCTGGGTCATCCTAGAATCCCCAGTGCCAAACACAGTGTAGGTGCTCGACAAATACTTATGGAATCACTGAGGGAAGGAACGCTCACGGTTAACTGCTTGGCCAGAGCATCCCTGCTCCCCTCTTCCCAGCTCCGCCTCCACTTAGAATGAAGGGTAAGTTGAAGACCTTGGAACCCTGATGTCTGGTCCTCCTGCATGTCACGTTATTTCCCCAGGCTTTGGTGATTTTCTCTGTAATGTAGAGATGGACTAGATCTTTGCTAGGAATCTGTGATCTGTAATGATACCTACATCCTTCCACAGCCCACCGCCTCCTTCTCACCTGGGTGTGGCTCAGCAGCGGGAGGGTAGCCTGGTGAGCTGAGCAGAACGCCTGGCTGGCCTCCCAGGCCTGAGCTTCAGTAGAGACGTAGTAGCAGTGCTCCTCGGACCACATCCAGCCCTGGGGGCATGGCCGGCACCTGATCCCTGCAAGCACAGAGACCACTATAAAGAACTGAATGAAAAAAAAAAAAAAGGAACTGAATGTATGCATGTTAAAAAAAAAAATCAAAATCTAGGGCGCCTGGGTGGCTCAGTCGTTAGGCATCTGCCTTCAGCTCAGGTCATGATCCCAGGATCCTGGGATCAAGCCCCGCATTGGGCTCCCTGCTCAGTGGGGAGCCCGCTTCTCCCTCTCCCTCTGCTGCTCCCCCTGCTTGTGTTCTCTCTCTGGTTCTCTCTCTCTCAAATAAATAAAAATCTCTAAAAAAAGAATAATGAATAAATAAACAAAAAAAATCAAAACCTAGCCGCCGTTTTGAGTGAGGGGGCAAATCTGGAGCGTGGAACTGGCAAGCCTTGGGACGGCAAGCAGGGTGGGCAGGGCCCGGGCAGGCTGTAGAGTTTGCGTGGTGCACAGAGCGCCCCCAGGTGGGAGCTGTCAACCCCCTGCTTGTTAGAGCACAGGCTGTGTCCAGTGGGAGGCAGGAGCTCTTTGTCCCTCTCTCTGCTCAACAAGCCCAGTGTCTTCACGCGGCATCTGCCCAGTGGGGATGTCTTCTTCTAATTCTCACAAAGCTGCTGTGAGGACTAGATGCCCTGGTGGTGGACAGAGCAGGAGAGGGGACCGGGAGGAGGCACCATACCTGCTCTAGAAGCCAGAGCCACGATGGCGACTGCGGACACAGCCAGAAACACAGCCATGACCGCCAGGGCCCAGCGCAGGGACTTCATGTACATAGGCAGCCCTGGGGAAGGGGACAACCAGGAGAGATGGGTTAGAAGGAGCCAATCCAAACCACACCCAACTCGGAACCACACTGACTCACACACCAGCACCCCACCCCCTTGGCCCAGGACACCACAAAAAAACACTCAATTTAGGTTAGAACTTCCTATTTGGGAGAAAAATGCTAGAAGATATTCTGCTTCTTAAATTACTAGAAGACCTAAGAGTTCATTCAAGAAAGAGAACAGATGACTGGCTGACAACCATTTGCTGAGCACTGAATGTGCATGAGACACGGCACAAATACCACCAAGAATAGGGCCAGACCTCTGCGCTCACAGAGCTAAGGGTACCAGGAGCTACCCCTCCAAATAAGAGAGGGATGCGGATTCCATTTCAACTTCAACAGATCTGGGTTCAAGTCTGGCCTCCACAAGCCCCCCACGTGTTTTTGGTGTTTTACCATTTTTTTTTTTTTTTAAGATTTTATTTATTTGACAGAGAGAGACACAGCGAGAGAGGGAACACAAGCAGGGAGAGTGGGAGAGGGAGAAGCAGGCTTCCCGCGGAGCAGGGAGCCCGATGCGGGGCTCGATCCCAGCACCCTGGGATCATGACCTGAGCCGAAGGCAGACGCTTAACGACTGAGCCACCCAGGCGCCTCAAGGTGTTTTCCCATTCTGACAGTGCAATCACCTGCCTCTTCTATCTCTCCAGGTCACCGGAGGCCGATAGTGAAGCACCGTGCAGGGTGTGCTTTGCAGGCGGGAGAGCAGGACACAGACGTGAGCCACCAGCAGCTCAAGGCCCCGGGGGACCCAATAGCTGGAGGGAGGCTTCAGGGGGGAAAGGAACTCGCAAGACTGAGCCGGGCAGGAGGAAAGGCGGCGGCAGAGGCTCAGAGAGAGAGAACGGGTTCGAATGTCAGATGCTGCCCTGGTGACGGAGTGACCGGGGAGGCCAGAGGGGAAAACGGGGAGAAGAAAACACAGTAAATGGTTAATCACGGCCATCGGCAGTTGTAAGCAGCTTTCCACCCGGAAACATCTAAAATAACTGAGCACTCCTGAATTTGATCTCTGCCCGGACACAGAAGCATGAAATCAATTAACGCAAAAGAGGCCTCTCTTTAGATGTGGGTTCAATTTAAACTTCCCGGGGGCACCTGGGTGGCTCAGTCAGTTAAGTGTCTGCTTTCGACTCAGGTCATGATCCCGGGGTCCTGGGATCGAGTCCCACATCAGGCTCCCTGCTCAGCGGAGAGCCTGCTTCTCTCTCTCCCTCTCCCTCTGCCACTCCTCCTGGCTGTGCTCTCTCTCAAGTAAATAAATGAAATCTTTTTTAAAAAATTTAAAAAATAAACTTCCCAGACACTTGGCTGCCAGGGGCTGGAGGACCTGCCAATATCTTGGGGCCGAGGGCTGGGAATGCCACATATCCAGCATAAGGGTCCCAAGAATTCAATTATCATATTTTTGCCAAAACCTGAAACAGCAGAGGTTAATTCTCCAGCAAATATTTTAGTATTTTGAAAAGACTAATTCCGTTTTTAAAACCACATGCATATTCGTATATACCTCCATATGAATGCACACAACACATACACACAGAAAGTTGGGAAACATTTCCAAGGCTTTTCATAAAACACGTTTTCAATCATAACTCAACTTTAAAAGCACTTTTGAAGTCCTTGATTTCCCATTTCCATTAGAAAAAAAACACTTGCTTCAAAGACCGAAAAGGGCAGTGTGTTACACCAATATACGAAGAGTCACATTCCATCTGTGACCTTTTTGGAGTTTGCTTTTTTTTTAATTACATAATCTGCTTCTTAAAGGGATTTGACCCAAATTTTCATCAACTGATAAATGGATAAACAAAATGTAGTATATCCACACAGCAGAATATTCAGCCAGTAAAGGTAGGAAGTGCTGGTGTGTGTTTTGGACAGTGGCTGAACACGGAGAGCTTTATGCTGCTAAGGGAAAGAAGCTTGTCCCAGAAGGACTCATATTATATGAGTCCATTTATGAAATGTCTGGAATAGGCAAACCCACAGGGACAGAAAGTGGATCAGTGGTGGCCTGGGGGAGCCTGGGGGTTGACAGCTAAAAGACACAGCATTTCTTTTTAGGGTGTTGAAAATATGCTAAAACCAACTGTGGTGATGGTTGTGCACCTCTGGGAATGTACTAAAGACCACTGGATTGTATGCTTGAAGTGGCTGGAGTGTGCGGTTATATGAATTAGAACTTGATGAAGCTGTTATAACTCGATGAAGCTGTTACCAAAAAAAAGTGATTTGAATAAGCTTGGAATAAAAGATACATATAAATGGAGAGTCTTAAAAGCAGAACTAAAAAGCCTGGAGAAGAAAAGGAAAAATCTACCAATCACCTCCGTCAATGTAACTACCGCGACTGCACGCTCTGGCCTTTCAGAAAAGAACGCATAAAAGAAATAGAGCAGGTTACACAGGCCCACATACCTTCTACTCAGGGCTGCACGGCTGACCTTGGGAATGGCCTCCTGCAGAGCCAGCGTCCTCCCAAACTTCCAGACAAAGGAAGTCCTGCCTACCTACCCCCTTTCCAAAGCAATTCCCCCCCCCCTTTTTTTTTAAGATTTTATCTATTTATTTGAGAGAGAGAGGGAGACTGAGGTGGCATGGGGGAGGGAAGAGACAGAGGGAGAGGGAAAAGCAGACTCCCTGCTAAGCAGGGAGCCCGATGATTGCGGGGCTAGATCCCAGGACCGTGAGGTCATGACCTGAGCGAAAGGCACACCCATAACCAGCTGAGCCACCCAGGTGCCCCTCCAAAGCAATTCCTAATTACACAGGTAACCCAAAACATTCTCCTTACAAAAAAATGAAAACACACATAAAGCTAAAGTCCCCTCTAAACCCATCTTTACCTCACTTCCAATTCTGGACGCCCTTACATTGAATTCTCTCCTGTCTGCAAACACACCCAGTCCCACATGGCAATAATAACATACATTCCCTTTCTTTCCAGCACCTTCCCTTCAGCCCCACTCTCTAGCTTCCACCCGATTTCCCTTCCCAATCTCGGAATGACATCTCTGACGTTACAGTCTGTTTACTCTTGAACTGTGAGTCCATCTTAATTTGCCACATTTCCTACCCGCAGCTGAAACACTGTTTGCTTCCTCCTAGTCAGATCTGGTGGCCTGGGGTGGAACCAGGTTTTGTGGGACTTAAAGGTTATTCAATTTGGGGGGGCGGCGGGGGGGAATCTTAAAAAAAAAAAAAGAAAACTTCCAAATACAAAGCCCAGCATAGGACTGACTCAGAGGGCTCACGCCAATGAGGGTCCGCGTTTGTGTCATTTTTTTTCAGGTAAAGTTATTACAAATGCCCCTGCTCCTCCAGCTGGGCCTGACCGTACTGGGCATCACCCTTCAGGGCCCCATTTCCTCCAGGCACCCAGCACTGAGTACATTCTTCCTACCCATCCCATCAAAATTCTAACTACTCTGGAGTTCCTAGGCCACCCCACCTCCTCCAAAAGACACCTCCTCCCCCAGCCTCTGTTCTCACTCTCAGCTTGAGTCCTCCCTGCCCAGACCCTTCCTGGCTCCATCCCGGGGTGACCTGTATTTATACTTTTTTTAGTCTTAGACCCTTTAATTAATCTGACAAAAAGCTGTAGACCCATTGTGGTAGAAAGAATAATGCCCCCCACCCCCACCCCAAAGACGCCCATGTCTTAATCCCTGGAACCTGTGAATAAGTTAGGTTACATGGCAAAGAGCACTTAAGGTTTTGGTTGGAATTAAGGTTGCTTATCAGTTGACCTTAAGATGAGGAGATTTTCCTAGATTTTCTGGTTAGGCCCAATGTAAACACAAGGGTCCTTAGAAACAAGAGGGAGGCAGAACAAGAGTCAGAGAGGGCAGCAGAAGGAATCAGCCAAACATTGCTTGCTGGCTTGGAATATTCCGAGGGGCATGAACTAAGGAATGCAGCATCCTCTAGCTACAAAAGGCAAGGAAACAGAATCTCCCCTAGAGGCCCCAGGAAGGAACACAGTGCTATTGACAGCTTGGCTTTAGACCAGTGAGCCCACATCAGACTTCTGACCCACAGAACAGTAAGGTAATAATAAATTTGGGTTGTTTTAAACCACTAAGTTTGTGGCAATTTGTTACAGCAGGGATAGGATAGGAAATACATCTTTGGGGCGCCTGGGTGGCTCAGTGGGTAAAGCAGCCGACTCTTGATTTTGGCTCAGGTCATGATCTCAAGGTTGTGAGATGGAGCCCCGTGTGGGGCTCCACACTGTGCCTGGAGCCTGCTTAAGATTCTCTCTCCCTCTCCCTCTGCCCCTCCCCAGTCTAAAAAAAAAAAGACAATATACCATCATTCAGAAAATGTGCTCACACCAAACTCTGCAAAAGCCCGAGTGATTTGTGTCCCTGAACTCTACCCAAGACCAAGATGTGGCAGAGACCCTGGGGCTTTGAGGCCTGTCTAGCTGGCCTGGTCTTCCTCTCCCCTGGCCAAGCTGTTGGCACTCTGCCTCCCCAACTTTCCAGTTAGAAGGGGCCTTTGCCACCCCAAATCCTACTCACTTTTCAACGCTTACTCCAGGAAGCTTTCCCAGGCCCCCAAGCTCACCAACCACTCCCTCCTGGCTCCTTGTCCAGGATTGTTTATATCTTTTTTTTTTTTTTTAAGGTGGGGGGGCAGAGGGAGAGGGAGAAAGAATCCTAAGCAGTCTCCACGCCCCTCACAGAGCTCGGGAGGGGCTCAATCTCACCACCCTGAGATCAAGACCTGAGCTGAAATCAAGAGTCAGAGCCATAACCGAATGAGCCACCCAGGCGCCCCTCCAGCCTCCTTCTTGTCCCCTGACAAGCACCCCATCCCTCAAACGGACCCCCTCCCCCCCACACCGCCCCCAGCAGTCTGGTGCCTAGTCCCCACGCAGTAGCTGCGGAATGGGGGAGTGTTTGGGGCCAAATGCTCCTCAACATACGTGGAGGGAAAGAGGGAGGGAGCCTGGGTCGGGGGACCCGGTTCTCGCCGGCACCGTCACGTGATCCTGGCAGGCTTCCCCTCTCCTGGAAGTCGTCCCACCTCTACTTCCCAACCACGCCGCGCACACGACGAGGTAATGTGCAAGTTCTAGCGGTGGGGAGGCGGAGCGGTGGTGGAAAGGTTTTACTCTTTCACGGCAAACAAATGCAGTCCAGTTACCTAGCCCCGACTGTGACCGATCCGAGGCGGGGCAGGACAGGTGGGACCGGGGCAGCGGGGCGGCTGGGGGGAGGGGGTGTTGCGCTCAGGCGGCGGCGTCCCCTCCCCGGCCGCGCGGGCTTACCTATGAGCTTTATGGCCCGGGGCAGCTTGTCGTCGTCGCCGCCCGTCTCGGCGCGGTGCAGCAGCGCGGCGTCCTCCTCCTTCTCCAGCCCCAGCTCCCCGCAGCGGCCGCGGCACGTGGGGGAGCCCGGGGGCTCCGAGCGCCCGTCGGCGGGGCTCGCCCGGCCCTCGGCGTCAAGGCCGCGCTCCGGCCGGGCGGGGGGCCGCTGCAGGAGCGGGAGGGCGGGAAAGGCGTGGCGGGAGAAGGCCGGGGACTCGGGCACCGGCACGGTGAGGAAGCGCGGGGACGGCGCCGGCGAGGGCGCGCGACTGCCACCCGCCACGCCCACGGACTTGACGCGCACGTCCACCTGCAGTTCCACCGGGGCCCAGGTGCCCTGCGGCGGCTCCCCGGGCGCCAGCTCGGCCCCCGGCGCCTCGCCGGCCCGGGGCTGCTCGGCCGCGGTGGGGCCGGGCGACGGCGGCTCGGAGCCGGCGGAGGCCTGGCGGCGGAAGGCGCCGTAGCCCAGGCTGGGGGCCGGGAGCCGCAGGAGCGCCGGGCGAGGCGGCGGCAGCTTCTTCCCGCCCGAGAGGTCCTGGCCTGCGCCCGCCGCTTCCTTTACGGCGCGGGCCAGACTCGGGCTGCTCTCGGGACTCTCGAGCCGTCGCTCCTCTACGGGCACCTGCGGCTGCTCTGGCCCCGCGCCCTGGCTCCCCAAGGGCTCCATTGGGAACTCGGCCCCGGGTGGGTCTCCTCCGGACGCCGCCTGGGCCCGCTGCATCCGGGGAGCGGAGCGACCGAGAGATGCCAAGCGAGCGCACCTGGGCCCAGGTATGGAGTCGGCTTCACCTCCCGGGTCGGGATTGGTCCAGCCCGGTCGCGGAAGTTTTCAGGCTACGCCCCTCTGCCCCCGCCCACCCGAAGGACCCCGCTGGGATTGGCTGCGGCCGGGATTCTGTTGGCCACGCCCCCTTAGGCTTCCCCAGGGCTGCGGGGAAAGGAGCGGAGGAGGGCCTGCCCGCGGGGTTACCGAGAAAGAACTGCAAGTAGAGGCAGAAGGGAGAACCCAGAGCCCCGCCTGACTCCTTCCTCTTCTTTGTCCCAGTCCCACGGCCCTCTGCCATTGCGCTGATTTTGAGAGTTACAGTCTGGGCTGAGAGCGGTTGGCCAAGTGTGTAAGAGATCCTGGGACCTCAAAAAACAGCGGGTCCAAAGGAAATTGGGCGGCCTGAGGAAAAGTAGCAGAGCTGGTTGCCCGACAGTGTAGTGGGGGAAGGGGCACCACACCTGAGTGGACGTCCCTACAGCAGAAGTCCCAGGGACAGCCACTCTGGAGGCATGACTCCTACTACCCTAACTCATTAAAAACTGGGGGATGAATAAGCATGAACGTGTATTTTCACGGGGAGAGGAGCCTGGCCCCCAGTCAGCCTGGTGTGGTGCAGTACAGGGTTCCCAAACCTGGCCAGTGATCTGAATACCGTTTAAAAGTATACATAATCGGGGCGCCTGGGTGGCTCAGTTGGTTAAGCGACTGCCTTCGGCTTGGGTCATGATCCTGGAGTCCCGGGATCGAGTCCCGCATCGGGCTCCCTGCTCGGCGGGGAGTCTGCTTCTCCCTCTGACCCTCCCCCCTCTCATGTACTCTCTCTCATTCTCGCTCTCTCAAATAAATAAATAAATCTCTAAAAAAAAAGTATACATAATCCTGGCTGGGCTTCAGCCGGACTTTCTGCATCTCATAAAGGGAGGAGGCCAATGGTTTTTAACAAGTGCCCCAAAGTAGGATTGACAGATAACACAGAAGCCACTCTGTTATATCTGAATTTCAGAAAAACAAGAGTTTTTTAGAGTAAGTATACCCCAAGCACTGTGTACTTGTATTTAAAAATCATTCATTATCTGAAATTAAAATTTAATCTCTCACCTATATTTTTTAAAATATTTATTTGAGCGGGGAGGGACAGAGGGAGAGAGAGAGAGAAGCAGACTCCCCGCTGAGTACAGAGCCCAAGGACTGGACCCTGAGATCAAGACCTGAGCTGAAATCAAGAGTAGGAGGCTTAACCAACTGAGCCACCCAGGCGCCCCTGCCACCTATATGGTCTTTTAAAAGATTTTATCTGAGAGAGAGAGCGCAAGTACATGAAGGGGGGAGGGGCAGAGGGAGAGAGAGAAGCAGACTCCCCACTGAGCAGGGAGGTTGAGGACCCTGGGATCATGACCTGAGCTGAAGGCAGCTGCTTAGCTGACTGAGCCACCTATATTTTTATTGACTAAATCTGGCAAACCGTACCCCAGGGACTTCTATCGGATTGGTCTTAGGAGCGGCATCTGTTAACACCAGGGACAGGTTACTCCTAGGGGAGAGGGAAGGAAGGAGGATGTGGAGGAGAAATGCCAGGGAGGGATGGCCCCTGAAGACAAGTAATTGAGAGAAAAAGTCCAGTGGAAAGAAAGTGCTATATGAAAATATGTTGTTTAATCCCTTCAAAAATCCAGACTACATATTTAATGTGGGGACATATCCATACATGAAAATCCATTTAAAAAAGGTGTGAAATGATAAGCACCAAAGTGATAATAATAGTGGATTCTGCTGTAGATTGTTTGGGGGGTGGGCAGGGGAGATAGTCTTGGAGACTTTAATCTTATCCATAATGTTTCCACTCTCTAGAAAGAGAATGTATTTATATATATTCTTAAATAAAAATCCATTTTTATTTTATTTATTTTTTTAAAGATTTTATTTATTTATTTGAGAGGGAGAGACTGAGAGAGAGAGCACATGAGAGGGGGGAGGGTCGGGAGGGTCTGAACGGGAGAAGCAGACTCCCTGCCGAGCAGGGAGCCCGATGCAGGACTCGATCCTGGGACTCCAGGATCATGACCTGAGCCGAAGGCAGTCGCTTAACCAACTGAGCCACCCAGGCGCCCAATAAAAATCCATTTTTAAAAAGATGGCATGTTGTAAGATTTTTTTTTAGAGCTGATAAAGATTACTATAAAAATTAAAATAATTCGGGGCTCCTGGGTGGCTCAGTTGGTTAAAGCGACTGCCTTCGGCTCAGGTCATGATCCTGGAGTCCCTGGATGGAGTCCCACATCGGGCTCCCTGCTCGGCGGGGAGTCTGCCTCTCCCTCTGACCCTCCCCACTCTCATGTGCTCTCTCTCGTTCTCTCTCTCTCAAATAAATAAATAAAATCTTTTAAAAAAATTAAAATAATTCACAGGTATATAAAGTATAAAATATAAAGGCAAGGTCTCTACCCTCCTTTTGACTTCTCAGAGGTGGCTGCTGTCCTGAGAGTGGTGTAGTACAGGGTTCTTGTCCATTTCCTGTGACTTGGAGCTAAGAGAGGAGCACCCTGACTTGCTTTCCTGCTTACATATCTTCTCCTGGGATGATGATTATCAAACAGTTTATAACATCAAGGATCTCTAACCTTCCAGATGTTTGGGCCCAGAGAGGGTCAGTGAGGAAAACACAATGGGCTTAACATTTAGACTCGCTCCCATGACCTTGTGGGGGATACCCCGAGGCCTGGCTCCCCAGGCCACAGCCCACCGAACTGGGCTGTGCTCCTGACTCAGGGGCACCCAAGGGCATCTAAATTCCATCTTGAATATTGCCAACCGCGGTTGGCACTGGTATCAACCAGGGCCAGAAATGGAGCCAACACGGACAGCAAGAAGCGGGAGCAGAAGCTACAGTGGACTCAAAATGTGGCCCTGGCCAGTCCTTCCAACCTGCTTTCTGGATTCTGTCCACAGTTGTGTGCAGTCCCACTTTGATTTCACACACACTTCCTGAGCAGAGTCCCTAGCCTGTGGGTACACGGCTTTGGCACATTCTGGGGAGCTGGCACCCTGATGATCTCCTGCCCTTTAATCGCTCCCTTCCTACTGGCTCTTTCCCACCATCAGTAAACATGAGCACCTTGTAAATGCCCCTCGGCATCTCCTCCTCTAGCTAACACTGGTTTCTTCCTTGCACGACCAACCTACTTGAACGCTCACTTTCTCCATTCACTGCATCATATCCTAAGCCCTCCTTACGCCACTGCAGTGTTTCTCGCCCCGGCTAGTCTGTGGACATTTTCCCTGTCGAGGACACCACACATCACCAAAGCCGGTAGATTTCTTCAGTGCTTGCTCTGTGGCTCTCCTCACACTGTGCTTTGCTGGTTTTCCGTCTGCTCCCAAAGGCTTCTCACTCTCCATTAGGTCACTGACTCTCCAGCTGTCCTTCCAGCCCAGATCTTTCTCTGGACCTGGACCATAATAACAGTTACGCTAAGGGGTTGAATTTTGTCTCTCCACCCTGCCCTGACCCAAATTCATATGTTCAAGTCTTAATCCCCCAAGCCTCAGAAAGTGACCTTGCTTGGAATTAGGGCGGTGACTGTGATGAGGTCATCCCAGAGTAGCCTGGTTCCGTCATCCAACACGACTGGTGTCCTTATAAAAAGGGGATATTTGGACACAAACACACACACAGGGAGAACACTGTGTGAACGTGAAGGCGGAGATCAGGCTGATGGGTCTACCAGCCAGGGAAGGCCAAAGATTGCTGGCAAACCACCAAAGACAGCAGACAGGCCCAGGGCAGATTCTTTTCCCACAGACCTCAGAAGGAACCATCCCTGCCGATGCCTTGACCTTGGACTTCCTGCCTGCAGAGCCGGGAGATAATACATTTCTGTTGTTTAAGGGGCTCACTGTGTGTTACCTTGTCACCACAGGTTGCCACGGCAAACGAGTCACAGGTCGAAATGGCTGCCTGCCCTGGCAACGGCTCTCTGGACGGATGCAGGTGGTTTCTGTGTCCCCCCGCTCTGCGCACCCCCACCCGTCATCGTGGCGGACACAGCTGGCCCAATCAGATTCTCCCTCACAGGAATTTTGGCACTTGATCTGAGAACCCCAGGGCGGGGAGGTGTCACAACTCCAGCAGGGCAGCTCCCTGGGGAGAAGACCCACAAACCCTTCTTCGGGTCCCTGGCGTTTCCCTGGTTCCAGCCCTTCCTAAAGCTTCCTTGTCCATGTGTGTGGATTTCATGAGACCCCGCAGTATCTCTCCCCTACCTCCCTTTTTTACCTCAAGTTAAGATATCATTTTCCACTCTGACTGCAAGTGGCAGAAAACCCAAATTCAACCACCGGCTGCCTTGGGCTCCATGGGGTTCCCTCAGGCGAGGGCCGGGCTCTGGAGCCATCTCCGTTGTGCCTTCCATGGTGAGCCTTGGGGGCTCTGTGGTCAGAAGGCCACTGACACTCGTGTGGTGGGAGACCCTAAGGCAGGTGAGTTCTCCAGCTGTTTCAAGGGGGTTCAGATCCTGGCTGCCCCCAGAGAAGAACCACTACCTGCTGTCACCCTTCCCTCCATCCTTCTCTCCCACTTTAAAATCCTTTTTTTTTTCTGCTTACAACAGCCATACATGCTTGTGATACAGAACTTAAATACTACAGAAATGCACGCCATAGAAAGTGATTTCATGGGGCGCCTAGGTGGTTCAGATGGTTAAGCGTCTGCCTTCCGCTCAGGTCATGATCCCAGGGTCCTGGGATCGAGCCCCACTTTGGGCTCCTGGCTCAGAGGGGAGCCTGCTTCTCCCTCTCCCTCTGCCTCTCCCCTTGCTCATGCTCTCTCTCTCTCTCTCTTGCATCTCTCTGTCTCAAATGAATAAATAAAATCTTAAAAAAAAAAAAGAAAGTGATTTCATGCCTCCAGATATCCCCGTTATTAACATTTCAATATAGAGTCTTCTGGACTTTTTTCTATGCCTATCTTACCTACGTTATTATATGTACATATATTTTATTTCTAAAACTTTACTCATATTAAATCCATACCCATACATCATTTATGTAAGTAGTCTCCTGCTGGCCGACATTCGGGCAGTCAGTCCTGTTTCCACAAAATCACTGCAAAAGCCACAGTTATAATTCAGTGCCATCCTTGTGCCTTGTTTTTCAAAAATCCAACTGATGACATCTTCAGAATAGCTTCATCAAAATGGAACTGCTGAGCCAAAGCATGGTCACAATTTCACATGTGATGGACAGTGTCAAAATTCCCTAAATTCTCCGCGAGAAGCTGAAGGAACCACGGATGAGGGGCTGTTCCCCACAGCCCCCTCAGCACTGGATGTTATCAATTTTCTTAGTCTTTACCAATTTGATGGGTGAAAATACAAAATTTCAACTTGCATTTCTTCAGTTATGAATGAAGTCGAACACACCTCCATTTGTGAATTGTGTTACCGGGAAGTGTCTTTACCAGTCTCAGGGGCTGTGTAAAGGGCTGCCTCTGGGGCCAGTTCCAGATCCTGGGCTGCTTCCAGAAAGTGGCTCAGCAGGCACCCTTGTCCCTTCTTCCTGCCCCCACACCATGGAGTTCACTGGTCCAGGGAGAGTGATGGTATCTGACTTGTCTGAACAGACCCAAGAGTTACAAAAGCATAAACTAAATCATGGCTGGTTTCTCCCAGGGAGGAAGCCAACATCCCTACCCCCCACCCCGCACCCCCCACCCCCCAGGCTCTTGGCTGATGTCCCCTCTGGCATCCTGAGCCCTTCTAGGGCTCCTGGACACACAGATGGGAGGAGGAAGTGTAGTTTCTGCATGGCCGGCTCCCT